GCCCCGCTGCCGCGGGACCCCGCGCCCGACACGCGCGGGCAGGGCCGCAGCTAAGTCGGGCCTGCCCCCCTGCAGGGGGATTTTCTGCGATAAATTAACAAAATACCCCACAAATAATCAGAACAATAGTCCAACAATAGTCTGGAAACTATGTTGGGACATTTGTGTTTGCCTTTCTGGGGTATGTTTGGGGTATGTTTTATTTTTCGTCGACAATCCCCCTGCAGGGGGACACGCCCGACATAAAGCTAAAGGGGACCAGCGAAGACACACACACACACAAATCAGCCCAAATCCCAGGATCCCCCATCTTCTCCCGCATTTCCTGCGCTTTCGTCTTCCCCCCCCCGCTCCCCACCGTCTCCCATCCTTTGTCGCAGGGGTCGACGACTGATCGTGTCTGCATGTTCTGTCCCCTCCTGACAAAAGGCTGGCGCGGCCGAAGTGGGCACGGAAAAACTGGGTACGGCAGGCTCGCGTCGTGTCGACCCCGGCGTGGGTTCCCGACACCGAGGGGATCGATCCACCTGAAACGACGGGCCGTTTCAGAAATGCTGGATCGTCCGACTATGGGTCGATTCTGGGTCGCTGGCGGCGTTCAATGCCGAACGCCCCGGGTGGGGTTGCCGCCGGTCGACACGACCCGAACCTACCGTACGATACCCAACAGGGGATGTGGGAGGCAACTCCTGGGAGGTCGTCGTGAGAACTATGAGGGGCTACGCAGCTAGATGAAGGCGCAACCAGGCCGAAGTAGCCCATTAGGCCCAGGGTTCAGTCGCACTCAGCCAGAAGGGGCGGAATTAAGCGGGCCTATGTCACATGTCAGAATAGGCCTGCTTTCGACCACGGTTGCACCAGCGCCGATGATGAATTCAACCTTCCAGGAGTTGGATCCAAGCAACCGTTGCCCCAAATCGACACCGGCCGCCGCTGGTCCAGCGACCACTTCGTCTCGAGCGGGCAAAACGCTCGCGGCGACGCCGAATGCGTGTCCTACCCGGAAACGGGCAGGAACTGCTGTCGGTCTTCGTCCCTGTTCTTCCTGTACCGCTCCCAAAGATCCGACGATGTGACTGTTGCAATGCGTGGCCCCTGAGGCCAGGGATTCACTGACCCGTGTCAATCCAGACCCGGGTCAGTCAGGCTCTGCAAGATCCTGCATCATCCTGCAAGATCCTGAACCGCAGCCGGGGAAAGTCGCCCCTGGCTCTGCAGGATCCTGCAAACTCCGGCGCTCTGACGGACCCCCTTCTGCATTGACCCATGTCTCTTGAGCCCCCATGAGGTACCTGTACCATTCCCTGGGGGCATTTGTTCGTCCTGGATCCATGTGCCCCGGCCCGTAGTCGGAGGCCGAAACCGAGCAAGAGCGCCGGGACCGAAACCAAACAACCACCACGTCGTCGAAGCTCTGGGTTTCGGCCGCGCCGAACGTTGCATGAACAGAGGCCTCCCAGGTGGGGTCCGAGTAGCCTGACCTTCCAGGAGGGCAAAAAAATAGCACCAGGACCTCGATATCTTAATTGCTGTCGAGGTTTTAGGCAGCCCAGATAGGTCTATAGGTCTGGAGGGCTATTTTTTAGCACTCTGGAAGGTCAGGGTAGATGGGGTCGGAAGGTTGCGCCGCATCGCCGATGCATCGGCGACGTCGGTCGGCGGTGCACCGGCGACGCCGGCGTGGAGAACATCGGGCTCCACATCGAGCCGCATCGCCGATGCATCGGCGACGCGGCGCGATCCTCCGACCCCACTCAGGCCACATGCCCAGACATGCGATGTCGTCCGGATCTTTTCACTCTATATGGGGTCTCAGTCCCGACCCTTTCCCCGGAACCCGTTCCTTATCCTGGGCCGTTCTGGTGACGGTCCCGGAGCCCGGCGAGAGCCCTCTGCAGAGCCCCGAGCGGCCCAAAACCTCCCGCCCTGGCCTGGGAGGCCCCGAGGCCTGAGGCGAGCACGCCTGGGTGCTGTGCTCGGGAGGCGAGCACGTCTGGGACTGTCCTCTGGTGGCGAGCACGTCAGGAGGAGGAGGAGGAGGAGGAGGAGGAGGAGGAGGAGGAGGAGGAGCAGGAGCAGGAGCAGGAGGAGCAGGAGGAGGAGAGGGAGGAGAAAAAGGAGGAGGAGAAGGCGGAGGAGGAGGAGCAGAAGAGGGATGATGATGATGATGATGATGATGAGGAGGAGGAGGAGGAGGAGGAGGAGGAGGAGGAGGAGGAGGAGGAGGAATGTTCGGGAATGTTCGCTTAGAGGACGACGAAAGTCCATGCTTATTTGGCAATTCTACACGCCTCAGCATCACGGACCGCCTTCGGGGGGCCCGAGGGGTGGGGATACTTACCCGCGCTAGTTCGAGCTCAGTTATGTCTCCCTTTGGGCGTGGGGGCACATTCCTTAACCAACTGCCGAGCGTCGGTGGTGCAACTAAATCCGCATTTGCCACAAAACGTGAGGCAGTATTTGCTCCAATACTGCAACGAATGCGACGGGTGGAGGACCTCGCCGCTCACTCTCTGGGGTCCACGCAAAGGCTCGACCTCCCGAGAGTGCTTGCACGCGCACTTGGTCGCACTCGCTGGAAAAAACGACTCAAGATTCGAAAACAGAGAACACTGCGTGCAGTAAAACTTCGCACCCACCCGACACCATCGATGGTCGGAGTCCCTCAAAACACGCGCCAACTTAGGGAGGGGAACAGGACCGCAGCTGTTCGGCCGATCCACGGACCACGGATCCGACACAATCGCACACCCCAGGGCCCGGCGAGCGCGCCGTCGGATCAAGGCGGCCTCCGGATCCCTCCTGTCAGTAGGAGGGTCAAAAACAACAAAACTGGTCCACGCAATCTCAGCCATCGCCGACGCCATCGCGTCATCGCACTCGTTGCCGAACGCTCGGGATTTGTCGGCGTCGGATCGGAGCGTCGCCTCCTCTTGGTGGGAGGCAACCCACTCGAGCAGCACATCGTCAGGCTCTCTGGCCTGGGGTGCTGACGTTACCCTGGACCAGAAGTCGGCATTGGCTTCCCCAGCGCATTCAAGCCCGACCCTCTGGACCAGGTTGATAGGATCGGAAGATGGTCGGTGATAAAACGCAGTCGGCCTGGGAGGAGCTCCAGAGCCGAGGAGAGGGCAGTGATCTCCGCGCGAGACACCGTCTGCCTCCCCCGCTGGACGGTGGTTCCGAAATCCCAGGCCGGCTTCCAGCAGAGTCGGTCTGGCGCGAGCGCCACTACGCCAGCGCCAACCCTGCGACGCCGAGGGTCATCCGAAAATCAACCTCCCGAACCGTGCCCGAACACGGTAGCATAACCCTCGGCGTCGCGCGGGATGGAGTTGATGTCCCCAAAGCTCCTGGTCTCCAGGGGTCCGCCATTGAAACTGGGAATCGTTCCCCCTCTCCCTGGGACCACTCGGAGCCACAAACTTGGGGAGCTCTCGTGGTTCGCTCGACACTGATCGCATAAAACATGGGATGTCTTGAAATCTCCGTGGCAAGCGTTGGCCTCGCATGCCCAAATTCTGTGAGACAGCGTCTCTGGTGCCCTATGGCACCTTGGGCACAAGAGACTCGGAATTTCGTAGCCTGCCTCACTCAGACGCTCGCGCGTCCACTGGCCCCCCGTGACGACCACCACATTCAAAGCCCACTCGTCGCCCAGGTCGCTGGGGCCGAGCCTGGCCATCTATCTGCGCGCATGGTACATGTCCGCACCGCCGCCGAGGTCAGTGCAGTCCAGGTGATTCGCCGCTGACCTCCACGGCAAAGAGTCGATGGCCGCCTCGACGTCGTCCAGAATACCCGTAAAGTCGCCATGCAAATTGCTGAACTCGTCGTCCACGATTGAAGGAACCGACCAACAACACTGATCAGACCCCCACAACATCGGAGACCACAGGCGCAAGCCCATGTCATATAATGTCGCAATCGTAGCTCCAATCGGTACTTTCACCAGCCGCCATCTCCTCAATCCTGCGACCTGAAGCCGTAATCTGATCTTCTCCCAGGCTAGAGCGACACGAGCGTGGTACTCAGGATGTTCCCACCGCAGCTTCGACCATGAGCACAACTGTTCGCGCCGAATCGGCTTCGCAGGATCTCGTGACTTGAACGTTATCGCCAACGCAGTAGTCAGACACCTTCCAGGCCCGCTGCCAACTGAACACTGAGCAGCTTGCCGACGCAGAGACGTGAGGAGATGGCTGGGCACTCCGTAAGCCCGATGACCACAAGTACTCTGAGGACGGACTCTCATCGACAACAACGAGGAAGTGATGTGCCTCAGCTTCGGGAGCCGTCGCATTCTACGTATGACCTGAAATCGTCGACGAGCCTTGGATACCCTCTCCTTCATCTTCTTCAGGTCGCCCCTCCTGCCCGCCGACGTATCCACCCCCAAGTCAATAGCTTCCGTCGTTACTGTTACAGGTACGCCTCGTTCTCGAAATTGCTCGGTGGCCTGGGGCGCAATCCTGTTCGAGGACGCCACCAGCACCGTCTTGTCACTCACCGTTGGACCTGCGCGAGACAGCTCTTCGCACAAGTAGCTGCCCGACTCGACTATAGCATATATATATGTATATATATATGGTTTTCGGAAATCCCCTCGACTCCGGCAACTGTGTCATCTACGAAAGTGCGCAACCAAATCTGGAAGCCGTATCTTTCATGAGCCCTGGCCAAGAAGGGCCCCAGGAAAGTCTTCGCCATGCGACCTCCATTGAGAGAGCCTGCCACAACACCTCGCTCTGACTGAATGAGATGTGATATACAAGATCTATATTTCAAGTACCCAGGTGCCAGACACATCTGCAGCTCCAGTGACAACATCGTAGCTGGAAAGTCTTGCGCCAAGGCCGCCGAGCATAACTTCGCGATGTCCAAGCTGTCGTAGAACTTCCCATTGTCTAGCAGAAGTGTGGCTGAAGAAATCTGTAGAGCTCTACCCGACTCGTCAAATAAACCTCGCACCAGAGCGGCCTGAAGCGCTGGCGCCCCTCGAATGGCCGTGTCCCAGTGCTCGTCCGCGTCAATGGCCCATCTGAGCGTCTCGGAGCTTCGGACCTTCGCCCACAACTTGACCAGAAAAGGCAGAAGGTCCAGCACTCTGTCACCACCTCGGGGTTTGGGCGCAACCGCACCGATGACCACGAACACCTGACCAGGCCACATACAATGCGTCTCTATGGCTGCGGAAAGGTCCTTCAGCTCGTCGATCGCTTCGTCCGGCAAACGCCGCACTTCGACGGGGCCCATCAACCCCGCGCCCTTCGACTTCCTGGCGATCATGCTGGCGACCGCCGGTCGAATGACCCCCACCGACAATTCAAGCAACTCTTCCTTCTTCGCACGCAGATTGACATACCCGACACTTTTAAAGACCTCGGCGGGGTTGAAGGTGGGAGACGACCATATCTTCTGCCACTTGTCCGCCCTGTGGCCCATAGCCTCGATGGGGGAGGAGTATACCGTCGTGGGGGGTGCGATCTCGCCAGGCTTGCCGATGGTACCCTTAGCGCATCTGTGGAGCACTCCTGGCGTTGTCTTCCACATCTTGGTAGCCCACGCATGGAAGCCTCTCTTAGCCCCCGCCAACGCCTTACCAAAAATCCAAATCTTGAGCCGTTCAGAAATGTCGCATAAGACATCGAAACCCTCATTATCGATCTCCGGGACACCCGTCATCATGCCCTTCCACTGGTTATGCAACTCCTCCTCCTCCTGTAACCCGCGATGCAAGTCCTTCGACTCCGCCACCAGCATCAGCTCCTCCAGGTAGTTTCCTGTAGTCCATCCCCAAGCCTGCACTCCTGCAGTGCGCCTGACCGCGCGCGCCATTGGTAGCTCGACGTTGACCAAATCCACGTAACAGGCGAGCGCGGAGTAATAACGTAGCACGCAAATGTCCCACCACTCGCTCCGAGAGTCTCGAAGGCGCGGTCGATCGGGGGTCGCCCGAGTTTGCCCCCATGACTCCACCCCTTGTGTCCAGCTCCACGCTCTCGTACTCTATCAGCCTCTGCAGCGGGCAAATCATGATGCAATGTCGTCGCTTCCGTCCCGAGGCCGACCCAGGTCTCGTAGGGCGAGGCGATCGCGTCTCGGAGAGCCTGGTCCCTATCCAGGAGGAAGTGCGGGGTAGGAACCCACCTCCCCCCCCGGCATAGTGCCTGAGCCTGCTGCCAGTGCTCGGCGCTGATGGCGAACCCGACGCTAGACTCCGAGACTGGCGGCTCGCGGTTGAGCCCTTCGCAGGTACCCTGCAGATGCTGCTCCAGACTCTCGTGCCGCTTCATCTTGGCCTCCCGCAACTTTTCGTGATGCCTCTTGCTCGGTGGGTCGGGCCTGACCGTTGGCCTCGGCACCGTGGGTAATGCTTTCGCTGTGATCATGGTCCCGCTCCACCAGCCCATCTTGCCATACTTAAGGTGAATGCAGAGTCCCACGCGAGTGCGCCAAGGGACCTCAGGAACTATCCTGAGCATCAGCGCGTCCGCCATGCCGACCTTCAGGATGACATAGTCAATGAGTGATCCTCTGCCACGATTGCGCGTCGCCTCTCCATTGCACGGGACCACCAATTGACCTCCGACTTTCATGTACCACCTCGTCGCTTCCCGATCACCCGGCCCCGCGCGCCAGTCAGTCGTCAAAACGCCGCCAGTCGAATCAACGTCTGCTCACTGGCGCCTCCAAGCTTCAAGCCTGGGAGTAAGTAGCAGGAGACCACCACAAACATTACCAACTCTCGCATACCAAGTGATGGGACATAAGCCTTTGAAACAATATTCGCCAGTCCGTGAAAGTTCAGCTTCTCGTAGACCCTCGAAGGGTGTGGTAGCCGTGCGCTTCTGCGTAATAATCCATTCGCGGCCTGTTGTCCAACTCTGTGATCGACCCGTAGCCGTCGCCTCCGTGGCCGCAAACTTCCAGCCGTCCTTGCTGAGATCTGTATTCGCCGCAGACAGCCGTGAGCCTGACATGCGTGCTTCCGACAACCCTATCATGTCGCACCCCGTCGCCTGAACATGCGTGAAAGACTTGGCTACGGGCCCCCAATCCGAAATGCGACTGAAGAAAATCTGACTGGTGAGATCGTCCGTGTAGCGCCTGGCGTCACGACTTGCCCTGGCACTGGGATCGCTCGTGAACTCAACCTGGAAAGTGTCACCCCCGAGAGGGGGCCGCGCCTGAAGCAGAAGCAGAGCCGCTGCCAGTAGCACCCTTGCCGCCAGCCTTAGCCTTCTCCACGATCTTCTTGCGCTCCGTCTCCAGAACAGCAGCTCCCTCGGCATCTGCAGCCGCCTTGACCTCAGCCGTGGGCGCCGACTCTCCCTGAGCAGGGGAAACGCGCTTCTCGGGCTCGGGGTCCGTGGCAGCCGCTGGCGCCGCCTCTGCGGCTGAGCCTCTGGCCGCTTGACCACTCTGATCCACTCGCTGCCTTTTCGTGGCGCCCGAGCAGATGTCCTTGACCCTGGCGACGTGCTCGTGCACCGCCGCCTGGATCGCCGCCACCTGCTCGCACTTCTCCTTGATGACGGCCTCCAGTTCGCGCGGCGTCTTCTGCTCCTCCTCGCCGTGGGCCGACACATCCTTGAGCAAGTCATCGTCAACTGCGAAGACCACGCGCTTGCCGTCCGAGGTGTAGCCCTGGGGGACGCGCTTGATGTCCGCCTCCTCAGCCACGAGCGCCACTGCCTCCGCGTGCTTCGCCTTCGCCACCGCGTGGTCCAGCGCTGCCTGCATAGCCGTAGCTGTGGCAGCCGCCAGCCAAGCCTCGGCCTCGGCCTCCGCCTTGGTGGCGCGATGCATCGCCTCCTCCTTAGACCTGAGCTCCTTGGCGGTCTGAGTGTACCGCTCCTGAGCGGTCGGGACGCGCACCTGGTTCTCCTGGAACCGCTCCTGCGCACGCTGCAATGGGGCGAGCTCCTTGGCGAACTGCGGGAGCTGCGCCAACTGATCCAGTAACGCCTGGGGGTCAAGAGAGGCCTCCGCGGGAGTAGGACTGCTCTTTGTACTTCCGAGTTTCCAAGGTCAACCATAGATATCTTGTCAAGGTTCCCGCCTGACGAGAGTCCCCTCTTGAAGGCTAATATGGATATACCACCCTTGCCCCCGCATAATTCAAGCATGTCCACTTGATTGTTTCTGCCGTAGCATGACCGAGTTGATGCTGAGCGCGTGGCGCGCCACGGTGGGGCCCTCTGATAGACCGCCACCTCGCGCCCGCACTTCGCACACATACCGCTGTTGCGCATGATGCGGGAGCGGCACGCCCAATTCCCGCACGCGCAGACCGTGAAATCACCTTTCCTCGCCATCTTGGTGGGAGAGGAATGTTGCCTGGTGCGGGGCGGGCGAACGCCCCGCTGGAAACGTGAAAACGGATGGGGCCGCGCGTCTCCTGCCAGCTCATACGGAGGATACGGATACGGATACGGATGCGGATACGGATACAGAGGAGGAGGATGAGGAGGAGGAGGAGGAGGAGGAGGAGGAGGAGGAGGAGGAGCAGCAGGAGGAGGTGGAGGAGGAGGAGGAGGAGGAGGAGGAGGAGGAGTCTGGGTCAGTTCCCAGGACGCGAGCACGTCTAGGCCTGGGAGGCCCGCAGAGACCTGCGGCGCCTGGCGCGGGGTCCGACGCCCCCGAGGGGGCCACCGCGCGGCCTCACCAGGCGCGGCCCCCCTGGAGCCTTCGGACCTACTCGGACACCTCCTCCTCCTCCTCCTCCTCTCCTCCTTTTCCTCCTCCTCCTCTTCATCCTCCTCCTCCTCCTCCTCTCTCCTCCTCCTCCTCCTCCTCCTCCTCCCCTGGGCCTGGGAGGCCCCAAGGCCTGCGGCGCCAGACGCCGCCGAGGGGGCCACCGCGCGGCCTCTCTCACCGGGCGCGGCCCCCCTGCAGCCTCCGGACCTGCTCGGACACCGAGACCTGCTCGGCGAGGCCGGGCCCGCCCGGCGCCGCCAGGGCCCCCGAGTGCTCCCGCGGCGCGGGGGAGAACCCGGGCGGGGTGGCCTCGCCTTGGCCAGGGGGAGGAGGAGGAGGAGGAGGAGGAGGAGGAGGAGGAGGAGGAGGAGGAGGAGGAGGAGAAGGAGGAGGAGGAGGAGGAGGAGGAAGAGGAGGAGGAGGACCAGGAGATACAGGAGCAGTCTCCCCCCCTGAAATCCCTCCCCTACCAGGGGGGGGGGGACAGGGCGAGGGGTGGGGCCTCACAGGGAGCTTCCGGGGGAGGGGAAGGGGGCTTCCTCGGGGGCGGCTTGGCCGACCCCTTCGTGACGAGCCCCTGTCGTGACGACCCCCCCCGCCCTCGACTCGACGCTCCCCCTCCCGAGCGAGGCGGGGGGGGCGTCACGGAAGGGATCGGTCTGCCACTGCGCTCCTGGGGGGAAGCTTCACGAGAGCGGCCATGGTTTTCTCAGGGAGCGTTTCGGGGTCGCATCGGAGTCTTATGGGACTGCCTGGTCATGAGGCCATCTTCTCGCAGCGGCGCCCCACCCCCCCTCCCCCGCCCAATTCGGCGGTGGACGAACCTCCCTTTAGTAAACCTCCCCTTAGTGAAAACAGCATGGGACCGAAACCGACGAACCTGGACCCGCAAAAACGACGGCCGCGACGCCCTCTTGCGAACCGAAAACGGCCAATTCCTCAATCGACGTGTCAGGGTAGGAGGTCGATCCTACCCCGCCCAATGCTGCATCGAAGCGGGCCGGTGCGGCAGCGGCCCGGTCAAGGGCCGACTTTGGGTGCGGGGCGGGGGAGATGCTGAATCGATCCGTCGAGATGTTCCTTCATTGCAGGGGGTCGGTCAGAACGCACCCCCCGGGCTTCTTCGGCACCTGCAGCCGGCAGCAGAGCACGAGCGAATGCGTTCGGAGCTCCGCCAGGAGCTCTCGGGGCGGCGCCGGACCACACCTCTCCCCCCACGACTGCGGGGAGGAGGGGCTCGCGCCGACCGAAGAAACCCGCGCAAGCCCCGAGGGTTCCTGTCTTTCTCAGGGTGGTGCCTCTTGAGCAGGGACCGACCGTCCCGGCATTCCTATAGTCATACCACGAAGTGCTCTTAGAACTCACAAATGTTCTCATAACAAAAACAATGCTCTTAGAACATGAGCCCGGTGCGCTGAAACAAGATACTCCCAGCCAGAAATGTTCTAAGAACATTTCGTGGAACCCACAAAAGGTTCCTATAAACCATTGTTCCCAAACCACCGACGTCATGATTCTTTCATGACGCGACCCCCAGAGGTCCGGACCCCTTCCCTGGGACCGGTTTTTCATCCCGAGTCGTTTTTTGACGGTCCCGAGGCCCGGTAAGGGCCCCCGGGGGCCGAACATGTCGAGAACCCCCCCGTCGTGATTTTTTCACGACCCGAGGGGGTCTGGGTTTGGTGGGGCTTTAGGCGAGCCGGGACGCTTCGCCACTGCTTGGACCTCGGGGCTCCGCCGCCCGGTGGGCGCCAGTGGGCGCCCCGTGGGCGCCCCGGGCTCTGAGGCTGGCGGCTCGGCATGCCCGCCCCGCGGGCGCCCTCTGCGCCGGCGGGCGGCTCTCCGGGCGTTCGGTCCGTGGGCGCCGTGGGGGCCTCGTGCGCCGGCTCGCGTGGCAAAGAGCACACGCCGCGCGGCTGGCACGGCGTCCCTCGCCCTCCACCTTCCGCACCTTCCGTGCACGACCTTCCGCCATTTTGCGCTATGTTTCTTGTAAATTACATCGAATTACACAGGGTTTTCATGAGTTTCGCGGAATTAATTGGATTTCAAACGAATTCCAAAGACACGCAAAGACATTCTGAGACATCGTTGTTTTTCACTTGTGTTTGCCGTCATTTCTCGGCATCGTCATCGTTAGCATCACCGCCATGCTCATCACATTCATCATCATCATCATCATCATCATCATCATAATCATCATCATCATCATCATCATCATCATCAGCACGGCCGTCATCACAATCATGGCCATCACCATAATCATCGTCCTGGCCATCATGATTGTCACCCAATCTCAATCATGCACTTGCCGTCCTAACCATCGTCAACAGGGCCGCCATCAGCATAACATTCACCATCACCGACGTACTCATCATTGACATCAGCATCGCACGCATCATCGTGGCAATCATCACTACCAGCGTCGCCATCACCACATTCGTCATCACCGTCATTATCATCACCATCGGCACCGCTATAACTTTACAGTCATCGTCAGCATCACCACCGTCATCATCGTTGATCCCGTACACGGAGGACGCGGAGGACGGATGAGGAATGAGCCAAGATGACCCCAACATGGCCCACGACACTCCAATATTGCCCAATATGGCTTACAATATGCTTCACGATGCCCCAAGACCACTCAATGACGGGCCCAAGTAGCCTCGGAGCCTCCGGAGGGCGTGGGAGGGGTAGGTCGGCCCACGAGCTCTTTAGGGCGTAGGTGGTCCAGGGCTGTCGGGGAAGGGTTAGCCCGTCTCTGCCCCTCCTTTCCTGCCCCCTCCGACTCGGGGAGGCCCGCTCCTCGGCCCCATCCCCGCGCCCCACTTCGCACAGTTCTCGCCCCTGTGTTCCTCTGCCCCTCCTTTCCCTTCTTGCCTCCGCCCCTTTCCTGGTTCCCGACTCGGCCCGTTCCTCTCCCTTTTCCTCCTTCGCTCATGGTTTTCTCCCTTGCTCGGCCCTCTCTTCTTGCTTCCCCCCATCTCCGCCGCCAGGTGCGGGTTCGTGCTGACCAACGGACACCCCTTCCCGCGACCGCGCGCCGCGACCCACCCGCGACCAGCCTGCCGCCCACCCCGCAAAGTTTCGTCTTTTTGTTAAAAATAGTGAGGACGACGGGTTTTAACACCTCCTTGGACCTGGACGGCTGGTTTCGTGAGCGGCCAGCCACAGAAAGAGAAACGCGAAACGGAAGAGGGGGAGGCGAGGAAAAAGGGAGAGAGAGGAGGAACACGCAAAAGTAGCAAACCCCCCCGCATGCACGGGGCAAGGCCTCACGCTGCGCGGAGCACTGCGTAGTCTTCGTGTTGGTCGTACCACACGTAGCGGCACCTGGGATGCGCGTTTTTTCGTTGAAGCACACGCGAAAAATCAGCGAAAAGAGGGACCCCCCAAAACAATGAGATAACATTGAACACATTTTTTTTATTTTTTTTTAAAACAAAAAAAAAAACACTGAAGACCACAACACAACGCGTTTTTGGTTTGCCCAGGCGCACGCGTCCGCCTCGAGCCACACAAGCGCGAGCGCGTGGGGCGTGCCGATCTGCCCCCAGAAGTGCTCGGGTGAGCACGGCGTCCGCAGCCACCAGTGGGGCGGGCGCGACCCCCGTGGCGGGTAGAACCACCACAGGGGCCACGGACCAAACCCACGCACGCACACGCGCCGCGCAGCCCATGGCGGGCGCGCGGCGGGCAACCCCAGGGTGGGCAGGTCGAAAAAGCGCGTGGGCGGAGCGGTGGGCACAGCCCAGCTGGGGGGGGGGGAGCCCTGGCGGTTCCGCAGGGAGGACGACCGCCAGGGCATCCTCCCCAGTTTCCCACTCCAGCAGCCAGATATTCATCTGGCTCGGGCCGCTGCGAAGAGGAGGGGAGGGGAGAAGGCAGGGAAAGGACGGAACGGCGGGAGTGGAGAGGGGGGGGAGGAGGGGAGGGGAAGGGAGGAGGACAAGGACAAAGACAAGTCGCTCGGGGAGGGATCCGCGGCAGCAGCAGCAGCTAGGACCTAATCGTGGCACTGTCTCGACACCGTAGGTGGTTAGCAGAGGGTGGTCTCCCTATCCGCCTTAGTTGCGCAGCGCATAGCAGGCGTGGCACTTTCTCGACACCGTAGGGGGTTAGCAGGGGGTGGTCTCCCTATCCGCCTTAGTTGGCATTTTCTCGACACCGTAGGGGGTTAGCCGGGGTGGCCTCCCTATTGGTCTCCCTCCTCCTCCCGCCCCCCGCTAACTATCGCTAATTGGCTGCGCTGGCACGGTGGCTCACCCTATTCCCTGGAAGTAGTGGTATAGCTCGGGCTCTCATAAGGGCAACTCCTGAGGTATAATTTCCACCATCGTATGTACCCTGGTTGTCCGTATTTGTTTTATCCAGCACATTTTGCGTGACCTGGCCCAGTAAACATGAGCGAGAGCGGCAAGGTCGCGCATCGGTCGAGTGGTTTCGACTCTCCGTTCAATCGAATGAACGTGCAAAAAAGGAAAGCCGTCTCTTATGTCGTCGCCTTTTTTTTGCCTCTAGTCCGTGCTGCTGGACGCCCCCGTGTCGGTGAAGCTGGCTGCCGAATGGTGTACGTCCTCATTCTTCTTGCCACGTGGAGGGAAGAACTCCTCGAGAGGCGGAATGTGGCTGGGGCTGTCGGTCGGGTTCTGGTGAACCTCCACCTCCTCGATCGTAGCGAGGGTGTGCTTGGTCGGCAGCTCTACCATCTTCTGCTCGAGCGTCCCTGGGTTGGTGGCAACGTCGTCGTAGAATATCCAGCCGTACGGTCCCCACGTAGTCGGATCGTTCGGGTCCATGGGCTTGAGTTTGCTGAAGTCACGCCAGCCGTAGTTCTTCCACGTCTCTTCATCCTCGGGGTCCCAAGGCAAGTTGTTCTCGATCCAGCCGTAGTTCTTCCACGTCTCAGGGTCCTCAGGGTCCCAGGGCAAATTGTTCGGCATATCTTCCCAGACGTGGTACTTCCACGTAGTCGGGTCATTCTCGTCCAGGGCAGGGCGAATGATGAGCGATCGCTCGTCCAGCTGGTATTTCAGGTATTCACGCTTGTTCGGGAGGATGGGCTGGACGTAGGCACACATGTTGATGCGAGCCTGAGCCTCGAGCAGGTGAATCAGCGCCTGGTCGATGTTGTTCGCCTTCTCTGTCAGCATGGCTTCCGTCTCCGTCAAGGCGATCCTCTGCGCGAGGGCCACATCCTTCTTCAGCTGGTACGTGGAAGTGCGGATCCTGCTCATGCTGATCGCCTCCTTCACTTGGATCAGCTCTTGGATCGTGTCGCTCAGCTCGCCCGTCACGTCCGTCGCGTACT